TACCAGCTCGGAAAACCACCCAAAACTTCTACGGCTAATCCGAGCTACTGGCTGGTGGTTGAGTGGTCTGCGCACTTGGCTTGCAATCACAAAGTCACTGGTTCGAATCCGCGTAGGAGTGGGCGTTCAGCCCATTCGCGACTGGTGATGGTCGCGCGCCAGCGAAGGGCCATTATGACGTACGCCTTACGATTAGTATTACTTATTGGTATTCAGACGAACACTGGAATCCACCATATCTGGGCACATTGCGAAAGTCGTCATGCGGAGAGAATCTGCTCCCAAACATTAATCCGAAATTATCGGTTCGATACGTTAGCCATACCTTTGTGATACACAGACGCAACTATTTGCAGACAGCACAGGCTTTTTGGACAATACAATGAATGACATTATACCATAGAACCAGAGATTGAAAGTCATCAACCTTTACTGAACCTTTTGGTTTCCAGAATAGTGGACAGTGAACTAGAAGCTTCGGTTTACAGAAAAGGCAAGCACACCGACCGCTTCCCAAACTTCGACTGCAATCATCCAAAATGTCACAAAATAAGCTCTATACGACCACTATTCCGAAGGATCGAATCACACTATAGTACCATGGAAGCAAATTATAAGGAAGAAAACATCTGTTTGCATACTTCAGGCGCAACAGGTACCCGCACAGTTTTCTCCGTATGTACATCAATCCCAGAACCACCAATGCCACAACTACACTGACAGCGACGAAACCGATAGTTTTGTTGTATGTGAAGAACGTCTCGGAACTGGCTGCCAAAATCCTCAAACCACCACTTAATGGCGGCTCATAAACCAACAGCCACGCTGATAGGAACTCCGTCTAAATGGAAAGGAAAAGCACATGAGCAACGAAATGTTGTCTACTGTGTTCTGTGCCAAAACTAAAAAGCACTATGTGGCCAAACAGGACGAGAACATAGGAGCACAAACTTGCGTGCAGAAAGAATTATGCATGATCCTGAGTTTCTGTGCATACCGATAAATAAGGACACGGGTTTTTTGGACTAGAGCAGACATTCTAACAGACACAGTCACTGGAAAAAGAAGGGATTTTCTGGAAACTTGGTTTTCGACAGTGGAAACTTGCGCACTGACCTTGAGTTGTTATACTAACAGTCGAGAAAGGAAGAGATAAGACGGATTGGGGACCGTGGTTTGAACCGACGCAGCCCAGCCACTGAATAACAACCATGTTCTGTAAGCAACATAGCCATTGCATCATGGAACTTGCAAAGTCATCCTTCGTCACAGCAAGCATCCCACTAACCGATAGAGGTCGCTCGAGTATCCCATAGTGCCTAGAGAGGCAATCAGTCTGAGTGAAGCGTGGCTGCGAACGCTCGAAATGTGTATGAAGGACAACTACATAGGCGACGGCATCCGTCTCTGCATTTTCTCGAAGCTCAGTATTTGCTAACGTCTTACTTACTAATACGCGCTGAAGATGCGACCTCGATTGGTGACTTAACATTTGCAATCAAGGTGCTCAGCTCGGAGAATCGATCACTAGTTCAACAGCCAAACCGAGCTACTGGTATTTAGACTTACTGCACCTACATACCACTGCCGGCCCGTAACCTAAAGAGCTTGTCTTGTACTGCTGATGCCATTTACCACATACCATTGCACTCTGGTGTGTGTAATCTGTTACGTGACTATTTTACAGACCGTACTCACTTCACCAACTTGAACGATAAGAAATCCTCTGTCCTCCGTGCCGACCGTGGTGTTCTACAGGGAGCGATCCTATCACCTTTTCTATTTTCCTTGTATGTTGAACATCTCCCTATACAAACCACGTTTATAGGGTGTAAATATGCTGATGATGTGCTGTGATGTATGTCCCCCACTAACCAGCATTCCTCATCACTTCAACATGGGTTGGAAGATTTGGTGGAATGGTCTTCATTCAGATCTCTTACGCTTAAAGCTTTTAAATGCAGCGATGTAATATTTTCTTTTCTAAGTGCTGATAAGTTACAGTCCTTCATAACTTTCTCCCCACACTTACTGTGAATGAAAATCTCCTACCCAGCTCTTCCACCGTCAAGTATCTCGGCATTTTTTTGTCCCAGAACCTTTCTTGGTCCGCGCACGTCTGTAAAAGTATACAACAAATCAGAAAACTTTCTTTTTCTGCCGTCAGACTTAAGGTGCTTTCAGTACCTCATGACTGTAATATTCAGGTTTGTGACTTCTTGTATTGGCTAGACCGCTCTCCTGTTATTTTCCCTGGACCGCTTCAGAAAGACTACATCTTATTGATGCGATCTATAAAGCACATTTCCAGATTCAGCCGCTTGCCTAGCGATCCTTTAATTGATTTGATCTTGATGCCTGTAATGATTTTTCTAACATATTAACTGATCGATTTCATCCACTTCACAATGATCTTTCCGGAACGTTCTCTTTCTCTTCTACTCGTTCGAAATTCACCATTTTATTCTCCCGCACGTCGTAGTATCATAATACTGTTTTGCCTTATCTCTCACGTTTGCTTGTTGACAGCAAAAGTTGCTAACATGCTGCGCGAACACTTGTTGGAGTAACGGTTTTGCTTTTTTCACTTTTCTACCCAAGCATGTATGTTAATATTATCATCCAGGTGCCCGCAATGGTGGTGTAAATGCTGAAAATGAACCTATTTGTGTTCATAAAGGTTATTTTGACTTGACTTGGACTCTGAGGTTATTAAGAGGTTGACTGTTTGACAGCCAACCCCTTTGATGTATTGTCCATATCCGGTGTGAGCATTGATCGATTGATGCTGATTTACATTGGCTGGTGTTTGACAAGTAACATTGCGGAACCTCACCGTAATGTCGTTTGACCACAAGCCGGGTACCTTCGGTAGACCATGTTCTTCGCACATCGGCTCACCATCCACTCCGACATGCGTTGTTTGCCGTTGACGCGTTTGGTTAGCTAATGCATCATTTTGTCCACTCGGTAAGGTTAGATTAATGAGTCGGGCCAGATTGGTCACATTCTTCGTCAGCCTAGCTGAACTGCCAACTAAGGGGCGTTCATACACACAACTTCAAGCTACTAACATTTGGTGGTTAACCATGTTTTCCTCTTGTTCTTCCTCTGTCTTTTGTGTTAACTTGGTGTTTGCAGTTATCCTGCCTCCTGAGTTTCTTACGACAAGTGAGATTCACCAGGATCGTCCTATATCTCCTTTTCTTTTCGATTTTGTTATAGAAATAATCATGAGTGACTCCATTCTTTCAGACTCTACCGGGGTGGAAGTTTTGCCAGGTGACCGACTGACGCACCTGGAGTATGCGGACGACATAGCTCTTCTTGGGTCGGACGCAGTGGCTATGCAAACACCACTTGACGGACTGACACGTAGCGCTGCACGCTTCAGCATGTGCTTTACACTGTCAAAGTGCAAAATATTGTTCTAGGACTGGATCGACACACCTCCGGTTCTAGCTATCACGGAACAGCCACTGAAAGTGGTGAACCGGTTCACTTTCCTTGGCGTTGTGTCACCTCTAGTGCTGACATCACTAAGAAAACTACTTCATATATCAGCAACGCCCGCGTGGTTTTTCGGAGATTCAACCATCTATTGAGACTGCGGGATATCAGCTTGTCAGTGAAAGATAAAATGTTTAATGCTGCGGTTAGCCCAGTTTTACTGGATAGATCAGAGTTGGTCAGTTCGCAGCAAGGATATTAAACGCTGGACTGTGTTTGACCACCGGTACTCGCGGAATATTGCCCACGTCTGGTGGGATCACCGGGTTAGCAATGCTGAGGTCCGGCATTTAATTTTTCTGAGGAACTCTTCTGGTTCATCACTCGAGTGTTTCCTGACTCTTAATCACTTATGTTAACTAGCCCATGTCTTCCGCATGCTGGTTGTTCGGCTTCCTCGGAGTGCATTTTACGCCCTGGCTTCACTAAATCGGGCGAAACCTCGAGGTTGCCAGTCCATGACGTGGCATAGAAGCCTGAAAAAACTGACTGAGAGAGTTGAGCAGAATGGTGCGTTTCGTCTTCCTCGATGAGGGCCTCGGGATAGTCCACGCCAATGGTTGGGTACCGTATCAGACATGATGCAGTCACGCAGTGAGTGGCGTTCCTGCATTCGGTTTCTTCCATCTGGTTGCTAATTTTTGTTCCATTTTAATTAACTTAATGCACTTCCTTGGTTCCATTTTCTTTACATTCTATTTGCATTCGACCCCACTTTCTTGGCGTTATTACGTATTGCTATTCTTTCGATCCATCGCACGTCGATGCTCGGATCACAGCTGTTCAAATGCAATGAACTTGCAGCTGTTTTTGTTTACCCTTGAATTTTTTCTGCTAGCACGACATTCTATCCATGGAACCTGGCTTTTAGTTGCTTAACAGCCCGAGGTGAAAGCTAGGTTGTAGTCTATGCGTAAACAATATCGGTGACGTGCTTGACTAAGTGCATGGATGTAGGCCACGTTTCGAGCAACACGCCACTCCCACTATCTTGTTAACACCGAAGCCTAATTGGTAGCTAGGTCTGGAAGCGATCGCTTTGTGTCCCTCATAAATTTTTCACTTAGCTTTACCGTGTCACCCGTTCTAGTTTGCGCACAGTTCTAGGCTTTGTTTAGATAGACGCACGTCTGAATTCATCTTCATCATACTGTCACTAAACTTCGAAGCCCCTTAATCTTATGTATGTATTTAATATCAACAGTCTAGCAACTACACATAAAGCCAACAAATCCATGGAGATTAGCAGATAAGGGGAAGTCACTGCATCAAAATCATCGTGGCATACTAGTTGAAGGTGAATAACACACTTCAGCTACTATGCCGCAGGAAAAAAAGGAACGTTTTGACACAAGTAGAACAAATCATTTTTGGTTTGTTTTGCACATGCCACTTTTTCTCTTTTTTGTCATTTCCAATGTTGGTCGTACTAAACATGTGAATCAATACAATTCTGCACACAATTCTTCCACTGATTTCGGTTGCGGGCCATGTCTTCAATCTGTTCCACCTGTCGGTCATTTTCAGGTGTTTACAGTCAATCCACAGGTGTGCAGGTAGTTCGCCAAGATGCGGCACGGTATATAGAAAAGCGTGATGGCATTCCGGCTAATGAGCATGATATATTTCTGTCAACCGGTGCTAGTGAAGCTGTCAAGGTACGTAAGCTAACCAAAGAATTTTCGCAACACTTCTTCATCGCCACTCGTTTTTCACTCATTTCTGAGCCCTTTTTGTTGAAGTAGGTAGACAGCTCTGTCCAACACGTTTTGCGGTATTGCTTGAGAGAGCGATCAGTACACCCGACGACTCCGCAATACTTCAAGAGGATCTGGATAAGGTGTATGCGTGGTCAGTTCAGAACCAACTCCCATTCAACACAGAAAAATGCAGAGTATTACACTTACGTCACCAATCAGCATTTTTCTATAAACTGGGTGACCATGTGCTTCACACAACTGCTGAGGAAAAGGATTTAGGAGTCTTGATTCAGTCCGACCTTGGTTGTTCAGCCCAGGCAAAGAAAGCATCGAACGTGAGCATTCGAAATTTGGGCCTTCTCAGGCGCACATTTGGACGCTTCGATCCATCCGTTTTTCACCAACTTCTAGGTGCATACATACGACCACACGTGGAGTATGCAATACAAGTCTGGCAGCCGTGGCTGAGGAAAGAGCTCTCTGATTTAGAGAAACCTCAACGACGCGCAACGAAGAACGTGAATGGTTTAGGCCAGTTACGCTACGAAGACAGACTGAGATCGCTCAGGATATTTAGTGGTCAATATCGAAGACTACGGGGAGATTTGATTTTGGCTTATCAGATTCTGACAGACCCCAATCATACCTGCCGCCATCTGCTGGAGCTCAGTAACAACAACAATCTGAGAGGCCATCATCTGAAGCTGGCAGTGCAGTACAGCCGTTTGGAATGTCGACGGAATTTCTTTTCCGTGCGTGTTTGCCAAGCCTGGAATGCTCTCCCAGAATCTGTAGTCAGTGCACCCAACCTGATCGAGTTCAGAAATCGAGTTGATAATGCCCTCACTTCATTGCACTATCTCCCATAGTACAGTCTAGTTTTGAGAGATCCAAAATCCATACTTTAAAAATAATTTTCCCCCACGCAAATTTCAACAGTGGATGTATATTTGGACGCTTCAAACTCAAACACTTTGCGCCATGCAAATTTCAAGGAGCAGTGACTCTTTTAACCAAATACTCCATGCCTCATGATTCCCTCCGAGTTATAGTGGATTATTATTTTGACACTTCAAACTCGGTGAGTCCACAAGCTTGTAGTGACTCGTTGTTAAACGATTTTACTGAATTGGTTTCCATTGAATTTTCCACACTTCTATGATTTTCGCACTGATCACCCTACGGGATTTGTCAAGCTTTAGCTTTTATACCCGCATAAATCCATTGTTCCATTGTTCCATTAAGTCGACGAACTATTCTTTCGATTATGTTTATCGACTGTAACACAGAGAAGAGTGATTAGGTTGTATAGTCGCTCTACCAGGCCTGTGTTCCGATTCGCATATGTATTAAGCAGTTACGGAGTTTTCGCAACTCAATTACACTGCCTCTTACTTTTAAGCTTCGTAGATCTCCACGATCTTTTTATCCGAGCAACCTTCTGCGCCATGTTACGGGCCAAGCTCAGACCCAACTGTTCAACCTTACACATCATATCCTGATACTTGCGTACGTATGTTGTCGGCAAGGTGTTTCGCCTTACCCCGGAACCTCTCACGTCATTTCGATTTTAAAATCACAGTGAGAAGACGAAGATAGGCAGGTGCCTGCATTTCATATCATCTCTTCAGTGTCGAAAACGATAACTGGAAGTCAACTACAACTCAAGTGATGCAAACTTGCAAGTAAACAAAAAGAACCATGAGAATCACCTTCCTGTGTCCAAGGCAAACTGGAACTGACCGATAGTTGCTTTTGAACACAAAGCTCCTGTTTATCGCAACAGCCTCAGCGAAACGGAGAAGAGGGGAATTGGCATACCTCAGCATAACTTTGAACGATTTGCTGACCTCTATCGGGTGACCTGAGATCGATAAGTGCCTGCCGATCGAAAATGCTGGCGGCCTGTGTGAATGCGTAGTCTGAGCTGGGCATACCTGTCAAACCAGCTCGTGTTGGAGGCACTTCGGAACGTGCTCCTTCATCCGGGTACTGAAGGTCCTATCAGTTCTCCCTATGTAACTAGCTCCGAAGTTACCTACGAATTGGTACACAGTGGGAGTTGGCCCCGATAAGCTGAGTTCGCTACAGTGGATGCGGCGGTAACTTGTGGGTTCGGTCGATAATGTTTACTTTAGCAGCCGCGGTTAGTCGTCTCCTTGTGGCAATGTCACTCTTAAATGGGAACTCTAAGAATATGTTCTTTTTACTCACGGTTCGCACTGGCTCTTTAGTTCGGCTGGTTTAACTATGCTTTTCGATAAACCTACGAGGTTGGCTCTTTGCAATTAGTGTACTAGTAATCAGTTCCATTTTGTCGGCCAGGCAATCGGTTGGACATATTCGTGTGGCACGACTAAATAAGGTCTTTACCAACGTCCGTTTGTACCGCATTGGTGGAAAGCTGGAAAAATGCAGGTACTGGTCGGACCATGCGGCTATTCTGTAGATCCATCGTCTCATCCTCTTGTGAAGTCCTAGTCTAGATATTCATGGTTGCATGACAGTGTGGTATCTGTTCAATTCACCCATGTACTACTGTCGATGATAATGGTAATGATTATGCGTAACAGCTTGGGAACGTCAGGCCGTTGTGCCAGCTTCTGCTTGGCTCTGCTTCACTCTCCCTTTCTTTGTTCCATTGTTCGTTTCTTGGGGTTGAAGTGCCATGAATCATACACATTGCAATTTACTTCCTTTTCTGTTATTATCTAGCCTTGTTCCTAGCAACTACGATAAGTTTATCGAACCCTTTATGTGCCTGATTGTACTAAATGTGCTTTTTTCACTTTAAAGTATATACTGCAGCTTGTGTCCACTGGACGAAGTGGGAATGAAAGGGCTGGTATAATGGTCCCTATACCTCAGTATCCACTTTACTCGGCTACCAACGCGGAGTATAATGCTCATCAAGTGAGTCTGTCCGCTTGTTTTGGTTACCGATGTCAAGTGTTGATAAAAGAGCACCTTGTTTGCAGTTTATTTTTCTTACATTCGAAATATTTCTCTTGGGCTAGCTTTATGCGGAAGAAAGTCCGCAGCACTTTCCTGGCTTCTGAGATAAATACGTCTTGTTTTCCGTATGTTTGAAGGCCATATCCGTATGGGTGGCCGACATTTCTAGCCGTTTGTGGTGTTGTATCGCCTTCTTAAATCTTTTCTCTGTGAGCTTTAACCCTGCTCCATTCGGTTTTACTTCTCTAAATCTAACTGTCGACCTCATCTGTAACCTCCAGTGCAGTTGTGTCGCTCTTTCTCTATAGCTCTGAAGCACCAAACACTGACTACCGCAAGCATTTGAGAGTACGCTAAGGAACATGGAAATTGTTCAGTTTTCTTTAGGTGGCCCATACATCCGAAAATGCTTTACCGCTCCCCCCGAAACTTGGCAAATACTTCTTCACCGACATAGTAACGTGGGTTACTCCCAGTTACATCAAATAATCTTGGAAACGGGTTTCTTGAACTGAAAGCGCTACCAACTGCTCCTGCACTTACAGCAACAACTTCCTTGATAAGCCCTAGTCGTCACTACTTAGATGGCGATTGTGACATCTGGATCTAATGAGTGATGGTCAAGACTTGAACATCCAGCTTTTTTGCTGAAGTCTGTACTCATATTTGCCTTGCAATCCATTTCGAGTATTTTTCTTAAACTTTTTGGTCCTCTCCACGGCTAACAGCGTTTCTACTTAGCTTCAGAATACCAATACCGTTCTGTTTACGACTAGATGAACCCACAGGGTATTTGTGTACGATAGCCTATATTACCAGCTATCACGTAGCATGTGTTGTATCAGTCGGGAGGATCCTCACATGTTGGTTGTTTGCGCTCACTATCATATTGTGAACTTCCCGCGCCGCACAGTGTAATCCAGTGCACATAAGTATGTTGGAGGTATGATCTTCGCAGCCATCCCCACTTAACGTATGCCACTAAGTGCATCGCCGTCGTATCGCGACGAGGCCAGAAGTCTCCCTACTTCGTCTTCTATGAGCTGCACATACTCTTAACTAGGTCAATTCTTGGCCTTTAACTAGACTATCGTTTTTGTACTTGAACTGACCAACCGAAATAAGCTACGCGATAAGTCGAACTATTGCTACATCGCATCGGGTATTAAGATACATTAAGTCTTACCCTTTGATACACTGATTCTACATATCACGTCTGTTTATTTGCATCAGCTCTAGTTTTGAGATGTCACATAACTCAATCACCTCACTGATTTTACTAACACCTCAACATTGATATTGAAAGTTGCTGCACTAAAGTTGCAAAATATACATGAATGTTTTATTCTCGACGGTACGAGACATGCCTAAAAAGGCCGGACTATAATAATACAAACGCGTATGCACGGTAATTTTACACAAATGTTACATGTTAACCAATACCTACTGGATTTATGTTGTATGCATGTATGTATGTATATGAATTGTATGTGTATGAATTGCTCAGTA